ATATATACTGTGTATGTATATATGTATATATGTATATGTATATATATATATATATATATATATATATATATATATATATATATATATATATATATATATATATATATATATATATATATATATATAATGTATCAATTTAACTATAATGATAATAATAATGTATAATGCAGGTTGTTGACCAATGGTTTATAATCAAAATTTAATATGGGTGGATGTAAGAATAATGAAAAGTTTGAAGGAACAAACATTTGTAAGGTAGTTACTGGTAAGTCAAGATAAAATTATTTATTTTTAAAAATCAGAGTTCGTTGCTTTGATACTGTTTTGTTTTTAACTTTTTTATGTATTTAATGCAAATTACTAAGGCAATGCCTTTTTTTATAGAGAGCGTCGTGTCAATTAAAGCTACTGCTACAGTTGCCGAAATAGGAAAAGTAATAATGACTTTAATATGACTAAAATATGCACTCGACAGATCGAATGGTGGTGGTCGGTACAAAACAACATTCATACGTTTTCCTAATTGTTCTGGAACTATTGTTAAATAAAACTTTTTTTTTCAAATATTTTATTTTATTTGCATTGTAAATAAAGTCCCTTGAAGCAATTTAGTTGTATCTGATTAATTTACGTGAAATATAATATTCTTTGTGCAAATTATAGCTTTTTTATTGAGTTATTTTATTGCAATTAAAGTTGAGTTATTTTTTTAGTTAATTGGATTTTAACCAAAATAAAAAAAAAAAAAAATCAACGTTGAATTTACGTTGTTTCAACGTTGTTCTAACGTCGTATCAACTACGTATCAACCAAATATCACCTATTCAAAGTTGAAATATGGTTGATATGTAGTCGATATGACGTTAAAACAACGTTAAAACAACGTAATCCGACGTGGTTTCAACGTCGTAGTTTTCAACGTCGGATTTTGTTTCCAATACCACCAAGTTTCAACGTTGCTTCAACGTGGAATATGGTCGGTTTGCGACGTTGTTTCAACGCTATTTTAACGTCATTGTGCCTGCTGGGAATGAACTTTAGGAAATTTATAAAAAACATTGTTAATTATGATTAGTTTATCCGCAACTAGCATTAGTTTCTTTAGTGTCCCTATATGCCCCGCTCTACCCTAAATAGGGGCCGCGATAAGAGATAGAGAATTAAGAGTTTTTTTATTTTCTTTATGGGTACGATAAATCGTGAAAGAATTAATCCTATTTTCCATTTTAGCGTAAATAGTATATTAGCATAGATATTAATTTGATAAATGTTTAGCGCTTTCATTTCTTTTGATAGAGGTCTAGTATGTGTATGTTTGTTTTTATGATATATTATTTTAGAAGCATGTTTCTGCCGTCGATAAGGAGAAATTATTTTTGTCTTGTGTGTGCTTCCCCAACCAATGTTAGCGTATGTAAGATGACTTTGTATAAACAAAAAGTAAAGAATTTTCAAGTCTTTTTGTGATAAAAATGGTCTAGCTTTGAAAAGTAAACCAAGTTTTTTGATATTTGAGTGTTGATGAACTTTATTTGGGTTGTCCGTGAAACATTTTTATTTGTAACCACACCAAGTGGTTACAAAATTTAATTGTTTGGGTTCTTTCAATGCTGTTGAAATCGATACTTAGAGAGGGAAGAATTGATGGAAGTTCTTTTTTTTGTTGCTTTAATTGATATATAATATATTTAGTTTTTGAACGTTAATTTATGACTTATTAGCACTGAACCATGTTTTAATTTGTTGTGCTCAAAGTTGACTTTGTCAAAAGTCATCGATAGAGGAGGATAAATAAAACAAATTTGTATTATATGCATTCATTATGCAATCAATATTTTCAGATGCTTTAGGAAAATCATAAATATATATAAGGAATAACAAGGGGGCAAGAACTGATCGCTGTGAAACACCACATTTTATTTTTAATAGCTTTGAATTAGAAATATCGTCAATTATGACACATTGTTGCCTATTATTTAAATAACTGATGAACCATTTAATAGTTTTGTTTTTTATACCATATTTTTTTCATTTTTTCAATCAGAATTTTATGGTTGACTGTATCGAAAGCTTTTGTAAACTCAATAAAGACAAACTGTCCTTTATCAAAATATGAGCTTATGTTGTTCATGAGGTCAATGATTGCATGTCCCGTTAAATGATTTGTTACAAAACCGTACTGATATTCACTTAAAATTTTGTTTTCTGGTAGATACAGTCTATTGTAGATTATTGGTTCCAGAAGCTTGGAAAATACTGGAAGAAATAAGATAGGTCTATAATTGGTTAGTGATCCCGTGTCTCCAGTTTTAAATATTGGTAACGTTTTCGCTTTTTTTTATTTTTCTGGGAAAACTCCTGTTTGAATTGATGAGTTAAAAATATTTAAAAAGGAATCTTTCATAAAGGGTAAGATATAGATTGCTGGAAATATTATCCATGCCAGGAGCTTTGTCTTTTTTAATGATTTTTTTGCTTCTTCTAATTTTTCTAACTTTAGATCATTCAAGAAGTAAGCTAGTGCGGTTAGTAAAATAGTTATTAAATAATTTGTTCGAATTGTTTATTTGTAATACTTAGTTTCGGCCAATATTTACAAAAAACATTAAATTTATCAGAGATAGTTCCTTTATCTGTATACTCAAATCCATTTTCCTCAATTCCGGAAGTTTTTGATTTTAATTTAGTTTTACCAATAATTTTGTTTATAATTTCCCATGTTTTTTTTAATACAACCACTATATTTTTGTAATTGTTTGGAAAAATACAACGTTTTAGATTTTTTTATAATTTTTTCAAAAAGATTTTTGAATTGTTTATATATCGTAAGATTTTTTTGATTCCTATTTTTTTAAATATTTGTTGTAATTTTTTGTTTTTTTTAGAGGAATTTTTATTCCTTTTTTAATCTATGGACATTTCAAGTATTCAATTTTTATTTCTTTTTCTGTGAGTGAAAAGTGCTTATTGTATTGTTCAAGGAAAATGTTTATGAATGTGTTATTGGCAGTATTTGTAAGCCCTTGGTTGCATTGAACATAAACATTAGACTAATTTGTTATCGATAAAGGTTCTTTAAATTTGCAAAGAGAAGATTAGTTAAATTTTCTTTTGTTTATATAAATCTTTGCATTGTTTAATGAGGTTGTAAAGTAAAAAAAAATCGTGAAGTGATCTGATATGTCTGTTTTAAAAATTCCTGTTTTATGAGATGCATCTAGAAATGATTTTGACGCCTGCTCTAGCCCAACAAGCAACATTGGTACGGAAGGAGGTGTGAACTTCTTGTTAAATGCTCTCCCGCGGTGCTCTATGATAAGATCGTAAGGACTTCTGGGACATAAATACATACAAAAAAAATAATGTTTGTTAGTATATTAGCTATGGCAGTAATTGAAGTTGAAGTGACTTGTGTGGGTTTATTTATTAATGATAGTATACCGTGTTGAAATAAATTATCAAAGAAGGTTTTAGTGGTGGCGTGTTCATTGTATTTTAAACTGTCTATGTTCAAGTCTCCTATGCAAAATAGTTTTTTTTTTCACTGTTGGTTTTAATAAAAACTTGATTCAAATAGTTAGAAAAAAAATTTAATAAAATTGCCATTATATTAAATTTAAAAAAAATTTAATAAAATTGCCATTATGTGGTCTGTAACAATTAGTTATTAGAAACTTTTTTTTTTGTGAATAATTATTTCAATTGTGACTTTATCAAATAATTCAATAATTATTTTATCATCTTGTTGCACAAATTGTTATATTATAGAATAAGATACGTTAGTTTATTTAGAGGTTTCTTTAGACATAGTATTTTTAAAAACTTGTATTCTTGATTTTAAAATTTAAAGTTTTTAATTTCCACTTAAAATTCCTATAATTTTAAACCATCTTGATATTTTTTTAGAATGATTGCGGTCTCTCAATTTGATACCGCCAATAGACTAGGATGAAAAAAATTCAAAATCAAAAGGAATTCAAAATTAAAATCGATTTACATCAAAATCTTGAAATACCGTTGTGTTTGAAGGAACTAAATAAAGTAATAATGGAATCAAACACATAATTACATTACTTAGCAAAATCTTGCTCATGAATTACATGATCATTTTTTTAAATTTATTAAGCATCCAAAGCTTTTAAACCTTTTTTTTTTAAAAAAGTTTGATTGGAAAGTTTGACACAATTTATTGTTTTGAGGTGTTTTTTTGGTATACATAATATATTTAGTATATAAATATCTTTTTCTCTAAATTATTGAGCAGTGGTTATCAAATATTTTGGATGAATAAATTATTCATTTCCTAAATTTGTATTTTTTTTTTAAAAAAAAAATTCTATCAGTAAATAAATAAATTTATTTTTAATGCAAACTATCAAGAAAAAGAAGACAAAATACGAAATATCTTTAAAAAAAATAACATTGCTAGAAAAATAAATGAAAAATAAAATAAAAGACTCTTGAACTCAGCTTAGAATTTGGTTTCTAATGTAAACAATGAGAAACAATAAATTTGGTTTCTAATGTAAACAATGAGAAACAATAATTCAAATCTATATTTCATCAATTTCATCTTGATAAAAATTCCAAATGAAGAAATAAAAACACTTTGGTTGTTTTTCATATAATTTTTTCTCACTTTTTTTTTATATATTTTTTCCTCACAGCATTGCACTTGTCATTTATTTTCAAATAAGTTATTGTGGTGTGAAATTTCAAAAAAAAATTTAATAATATTGTTTCCTTGACTGAAGAGTTAACTTGAAAACAAATAATTTATGTATTATCGCAGTACACCAGTCATCTTATTTATAAAACATAAATAAGGGAAACACATTTTATATCTTTATAGACCGATTATCGTCGACTTTAATTTAATTCAATTTAATATTAACGTATTTTTAAAATATTAACTTGCTAACTTTTAAATAATTGAGTTTTATTTATGTATGTTGTATATTAAATTCGTTTTTATAACCAAAGTAGGAGCCGGACCTTGTACTATTTTGATTTTTAAGTTAGTGTTCACTGTATCCAGGAGGTAAAACTTAGATTTATATTTCTGTTACAATAAATTTTAATGAATTAACTACAATTTAATGGATTAGCTACAAAGAAAATAAGATAACGAAATAATCAAAAAAGATATTAAAACCTTTACCTCTTTCAAAAAACTTTATATATGTATATATAAATTTCCTACTCAAGTGTCCACCCAATAGTGTTGGATTTGCCACATTTATCACATTTTACTTGCTAAAACAAAAAAAAATGTCCAAAAATTGCAAGTACTATTAATTTAAAGCTGACTAGGAACATGTTTTTAACCGCATTCAAAATTCTAACCGCATTCAAAATTCGAACCGCATTCAAAACTCTAGCTTGGATAATATCCGGGTTTTTTTAATACTTTGTTTCATAAACTTTATTAAAAATGAAGCAATTTATTTCTTTAAGCATAAAACTTAAGCTTAGATAACAGTCGAGAAGTTATTAAAAGCAGTTTATTGAAGTCTTTTTTTAGTAGATCCTTAACAAATCTCGCATGCTTTGTATTGCTTTAACGAGAGAAAAAAATTATCAACGGTATATTGTTAAAAAGATATCGTTATCCTGATTAGAATTAGACGTTATGCTAAATTTAAACAATGAAGAAATAGATATAAAGAAGGAGAAATAATGATCAAAACAAAAACAACTAAACGTTCTGTACGCGTTTTGAAGCTAACATTTTTTAAATGGATGCAGTGAAAAGTACTTTACTCATTATTAGTTCCTTAGCAATAACTACAAACGTCATTTCTGTTTATATACTTTATAAAAAACGCGCAAAAAACAACTATGTTATTCTGTGTATCAATTTGTCTTTAAGTGATTTATTGCAAAGTATTGCAGGATATATACCATCATTTTTCCTACAACCAAATTTAAAAACGGCTACGGCGATGTGTAAATCATCTGCTTTTTTTGTTGCTTTTCCGTCATATACAACAATTGCAACGCTTACTGCAATCGCCCTTTCAAGATTTTTGCTACTAAGTACACGTTATAATAGTAACCAAGTAAATTACAAAAAGCTTTTCATAAAAATTGCAACACTTTCATGGATTTATGGATTTACTTGGGCTGTTCTGCCACTTGTAGGATTTTCTTCGTACACACTAGAAGATACACACACTCGATGTGCAATTAATTTTTCACCTAAAACTAGAGTTGAAAAAGCCTATTTTATCTCTTTGTTTCTAGGCCTAAAGCCTAGAAACAAAGAGATACAAAGAAAAAGAAAAGAAAGCGTTTTCGTCGTTTTTACTAATGGTGCTGTCGTTTATAATCTGTTGGGCACCTTACGCAACAATAGGTGTATTATCGGGATTTACATCAACTAAAATACCAAAATTGCTTATTGAGATAGCTGCTCTTTTTGCAAAATTGGCTGCTCTAGTGAACCCGTTTATTTACTTTTGGAAAGATTCTTTACTAAAAAAAGTTTTCAAAATTAAAATGACGCAAACAAAAAACTTAAGTTGAAATCTGAAATGATTAGTGAAAAAATCAAAAAAAATTTTCACGGTTCACTGTACCAAAATACTGCTTTTCAACCAGGTATGCTAAAAAATATTATTGCTTTTGTAATAAAATCTTTTTCGTTAAGAAGTTTTTAAGAACTGAAAATATATCAACAAAGCATTGATTTATACGTGTATGTACGCTTCCGCACATAGCGTTTATACACTTTCGTATAATTAGTACTGCAGCTTTTTAATTTTATTTATAATTTGTAAAACATTGCAATAACGACGTGTATGACGTAACCGTGTAACATGATATTTAACATATAAAAATAAAAAAATACTTATATGCAAAAGTTTAGTTTACATTATAAACGTAATTTTTACATAATTTCGCAGTATTTTCCTAACGTTTTTGTTTAAAGTTGTAAAAAAAAATTTTTACTTATAGAATAGATTAAAATTGAAATACATTTTTCTTTTATATAACTTTAAAGTGTAAAAAAAAAAAAAAAACTATATTGAATAGTGGTAAGAAACGGAACATTGTCTGTTTTTCTCAGCGCCTAACAAATGTATGTATGTATGTATGTATGTATGTATGTATGTATGTATGTATGTATGTATGTATGTATGTATGTATGTATGTATGTATGTATATATGTATGTATGTATGTTTGGTTCAGAAACAGCTTTAGCCTAACTTTAAACAGGTATGGTTCTCACCGATAAGTGTGCTAAGGCTTATCGGTTACTTTATTTTAGATTTTTTTAAATCTTTTTATTCTTTTATTGTATTTTTAATTGCAGTAATCAGAAAACTGCAAGAAATCCTTTTATAGAATTTCGAAGGTTATAAATCAAAGTAATAATGATAGAGTTATCAATAGAAAGAAGAGCAAAATGGTTTGCTCTTATAAAATAAAAAGATTGTAGTGCCAGTCACTACACAGTTTGTTCTAATCATTTTTGTTCGGGTTAGTTGAATTTTTGATATTCATATAGAAACTATATATTATATACTTTTATAAACGCATTATAGCCTGCATATAATATAGTTTAAATATAACAATCAATCGCCTTGAAATAGACTTCTTTTCTGTACTTTGTTTATTTCAATAGTTATAATAATAATCTAATAAATAATAGTATATAAATAAATAATACAATTATATAATATGTTATATAGTCTAATAAATAATAATAAAAATCTCTATATGGTTAAAATAACTTATCACGCTTTTTAGGTAAACCTTTAAAACGATTTGCAAAGACACACTCCAATTGGAATCCCACGCTAAAAATGGACTATAAAAACAAGTGTCAATAATGAAAGATAAAAGGTAAAAGGGTAAAATAGCGACAAAAAGCTGGTGTTGTGGAAACTGAAGAAATATTTGCTAATGAAGAAATATTTACTAACTGACTGAAGAATGCCGTCAGTGGCATCAATATTAGTGGAAATAATGAGCATAGCAACAAATGTACAATTATTATGAAGATAACTACCATAGACACTCAACCAGGAAACAGTAAGACGTTATAAACGAATCAAATGAACTATTTTTAATCAAGCGAAGCGTTTGATTAAAAGAAGTATAAAACGTTTAAACAGACAAACACGATTATAAACTATTAGAGCAAGATGCGTCAATCTTCAAGAATATATAAAAAGAATATATAAAAGGGGACATATTATATAATGATAATGTAATAGATAATTTGTAGTGAAGGAGAGAAAAGAGGTGAGAAAGTAGAGAAACAAATAGAACTTTAAAGGCTTTAAATATATGGACTTTATAAGTGAAGAATTAAATAAGTTAAATATTTTAGAGCTAAACATTTACGATCATATTAACGGAATTAGTAGCAATTTATGTTATTTGGATAATATATGTATTATTAGGGAATATACTATAAATAACTGGTAGTAGTTATTTGAAACATTTATCAGGAAGTTTTTTTTTTTTGTATTTTATTACAATATTTAAGATGCATTACAAATATAAACAAAAGAGAAACTAGAATTAATGTGAATGGTTAATTCAAAGGAAATGAAACTAGTCTCGTTTCACAATCGATTTCAATGTGGAACTAAACGATATGGATAAACACAAAGTGACGTGTCAGCAAACATGGTTGAATCGTTGAACGTAAATTATTAGGAAAAGATTTACTAGTTAAATAAAGAACTTAGCCTTAATAAAATTGGAAACATAGAATGGTTTGCTACCAATAGCAAAGTGGCATTTTGTACTAGTTTAATAAATATTAAAATGTTCATAACTTTATGTTAATATTATTCCACATACCGAACATCCCTAGCCAAAACGTCCCATAGTACCTATAGGATTTTAGAACCGAAAAAAAAAAAATTTTGATAACCGTAAACACTTTTTAACTTATGTGTTTTAATTTAATGAGGTACAACCCAGCAAGGAAAAATACGTATATTATACATATAAAATACGTCTTTGTCCTACTCTTCGATACGTATATTCTAATTCTTAAATGCAAATCTATAATACGTATTAATTAGATGATTACAATGCGTTGGTAATAGACGTATAATATACGTATTTAAAATACGTCTCAGATATCTATAATTTAAGAATTAAATGCAAATCTATAATTCGTATTAATTAGATAAATAAAATGCGTTGATAATAGACGTATATAAGACGTATTTAAAATTATTAGGTTTCTATAATTTCTGTATTAAATGCAAATCTGTTTATTTATAGATGTCAAATCTGTAATACATGTTCGCAAAATGAAGAGTAGATTGTTGTATTATCTACCGTTGTATAATTATTGCGGAAATAGATTAATTTCTATCTTCGCAGCCATTGTTTTACCACAAAAATTGTGTTGTACAACCGACGTTAATTTGTGCAACTATGCTAGACAACGTTTCCATTATAAAACAAAGTTGTTACAGAACTGTTGTACAACATTTCTACAACTATTGGAAACCAAGCTTAAAAGAACATTAAAACATTTTGAATTGTATAATATTATTGTTTATTTATTTAAAAAAAGTAACTATATACTATAACATAAACTATATACATATAATATAATATAAATGTTAGATATCAATGGAATGGTTCAATCTTCCTGGTGCATTCTTTAGTTTATTCCCGACAACTCTAAATAATTCTTTTTCACTAACGGTATACCTGTCTTGTAACGCTTCTAAAATAAGTTAAGCAAAAATGTTTAAAATTAAAAATATCGTCAGCTTAATATATATATAGTTGAATACGACACTTAAGTGTCGCATTTATCATTTTTGAAAAAAATGACCATGTACAATATAAATTGTATCTCACCAAACATAACGTCCTTTAACTTAAGGTTTTCAAACGATATTTTGTTTTCTCTGCCTTTACGTTTACTCCCTTTAATGTTCATATTCGCCATCAGGTTTACGGAAAATAATCTAAAATCGAAAAAATATTAAAGGTAAGATCTGAAGGTGAGATCTGAATGTTGTTAAATTCATTCTTGTTTACCGCTTATTTTGACTGTTATTGTATAAAAAAATGTAATTTAAAAAAAAGCTGCAACAAATTGTTTTAAAACAAATCAATCAGAACGCATAAAAAGTAAGTAGTGATTTTTTGGAAAACAAAAAGTGAAAACGCTATATTTTTCTTTGGATTTTACCTCAATACACTGAGTTTCTAAATTAAAATCCTTATTCATTTGTATGTTCATTTAATTTTAGATAACTAAAAAAAAACGTTATTTAAAGCTTATTTAAGAAGTTTTCAACCCCTTTCTAAATAGACTGTTTAAAAGATATGATGTGTATGCTTTATTCAATATCCATTATTGTTATTGTTTCGCAGTGGAAGCTATTAAAGTTCCACCACTTATATGGAACCATCAGGCCGTAATAGTCTTAAGAGAAGCAAGAAATATTTTATATAAGTGCAAGGAAGTGCAAGATAAATTATAATATTTGGACAGATGTCCAGAATTAAGAGTTGTTGTTTAAAAGAAGGGTACTATTCAGTAATTAAGTTTGAGTTAAGTAAGTGGTGGTCATGTTAGATTTAAGTACGTGTTGTTGCAGTGTTCTGTAAGTTATTGTGTTTTGTGTTTGTATTGTTCTAAACGTTAAAGTTTTATGTGTCATTTAGTGTTTTTATTGCTTTGAATCTGTGTGTTCGTAAATAATGGTTCTTAGTCTCGCTCAGTCCAGTCTTATCATGTTCTCTTTACATATCAGGTTCGCAACTAGAATAAGTGAGTATAGTCACTAGTGGAACATATTTAGACGTAAATGCCTTAGACGCATGCAAACGTGCAAAAATACCTTAAAAGCATGCAACCTTATAATAAAAATATTCGTTTTAAATTTAGTTTATATACTCAAAGATCGACAAACACAATAGTTCTGTTTATTTATATGCAACCCGAATACCTTCAGCCACAGATAAAAACAAAAGAATATCTAAGTAAACCTATCTGAATTTATCAGATAAATATTCAAAAACATTTAACAAAAATCAAAACAATTATTAACAATTGCTATCGTTGTGGTAAGCATAATGTGATACACAATTAACCTAATATAACACAATTACTCAATTCTTAAGATAAAAAGTACAACTTTAAAGCAGAAGTATTACAACAAACAACAAAAACAAACATTTAATATAAAGTGGAAACGCGCGCATGATTGTTTAAAGAAAGAAAATAAAAATACATCAGCGTTAAAATAAAATTCAAAATTATGTAGTATAATACCAGATTCTCGTCAGGAAGTGGACATTGTATTGATCCTTATAAAGATAATACTCTGGTATTTGACGTTTCGAATGTTTTAATGCTCATTTCTAGAAACTCCCGTCGGGGTAACATCCTCAAAACAAGCAAATAAAACCCACCTCTACGTCTGCGTCAAAGCCTTCTTATGTTGCAACATTTGAGAGGACATACTACTGCTCAGCCAAATACCCTAACTTGATCCATTTTAAACAAATTACGCTGATATACTTTTTAGAAAATTATTAAAACACGTTGCGCAAGAAGTAACATTAGAATACAAAAAACTTATAAGTTAAATTATTCCTAAATACTCAAGTACAAATTGAAGGCAAACAAACACACAACAAAATAAAAAACAATTAAGATAAAAGACTTACCATAATTTGATATTGAATAAGAATAAGTCTTGAAGGATATTTTGCGCAATGCCAATGAGCAGTTTATAGAGCGCATGTAAATTGTGATATTATACACAGATGTTGTATGACGTAAATTTGCGGTTAATCAAAATATCCCTCAAGCGAAGCCTCAGTAAATAATAACGCTATTGGTCAAAAAATATCTTAATTGATTGGAGGATGAAAGTGTAAGGTGATTGGTTAATAATGTTGTGTTTAGAGAACATAAAAAATAAAAAAGAGAGAACATTCAAAAGTGTCCTAAATTATTAAGATAATAAATTTTATAATAATATGATTAACTAAATCACTTGAGTGATTTAGTTAACCATATTATGGTCCATAATTATGGACCATAATATGGTTAACTAAATCAAAATTACAATAGTAATTTTATTTTAAAATGATATTAAAAAAGTTAACTGGAGAATAGAGTAACAACCAAGAACGTAAAGATGTACAAAAAGCTGTCTATAAATCGAGTCAATAAATAAGAAGCAATAGCTGAATAACAACATTTATTTTTTACAATTAGTATTTATCTTTATTCAAATATATTCGACTAAAGGTCGTCTTCAAAAGACGTTCAGAATACACATTTTTTTCGCATGCCTTTGTGGTCTTAAATAAAAACTTCAAAAAAAAGTATTTAAAACATTTTTTAATGATGACTTTAGTCTTTTAAAGACGTTTTAAACACGTATTATATTTGTTTGCGAAAGATATCTTTCATATATAGAAATAATACGTATTTAATACGTCTCTTAAAGATAAGTTTTATATTCAGCTAAAACTCATCTTGAAAATTCGTTTTTTATGCGTATTTTTATCGTCTACTCTAGAAAAGATGTGAATAATATTAAAATAATACGTATTGAATACGTCTTGTCCTTGCTGGGAAGTCTGAAATTTTTTTTTTGTTTCAAATTCTTATAGGAATTTTTAAAGGCTGTTTTTGAATAGGGATGGTCTGCTTTTTTTTTTGACAATGCTAATCGAGATTCAAAGTTCAGTAAATTGAAATTTTATTTTGATAAAATTATTTTTCAATTAAGCCTTAAAAGACCTTGCTTATCGTTTTTAATAACTTAACGGTTTCCTTCTGTATTATTTATTGAACCAACAGATGTTTTAGTTGTTTATTTACGCCAACTCGTAAAATGCCATTCAAGCGCAAAGCTATGGAAAGCTACACCTGTAAAATCTTTATAAAATATTTATGATTTGCGTTTTTGCTATTAAAATAACTAGGACAAAGTATCCTAACAAATAAAAGAAATAAATAAAGATAAAATTTATTTTTTAATTGTAAGTTTTCAGCCATTTTCATTTTTATACTGGTTTTTTTCATTTTAAGAGATTGAACAACTTATCAACTTAAAAAAAAAAATTGTTTTCAACCAATTACTATGTTCTACACAAAAAAAAGACTATCGCTAACTTGAAAAAGGAGATATGTCCTGCGAAAATTCACACAACATGTCCCCTTTTTTAAGTTAGCGATTCATATAACAATAAAAGTTTAAATAAAGACATGAAGTGTAATTGCTCTAGCTTAAGCATTAGTATTATTTTACGTTATTAGAACATTTTTTTTTTTATATATATAATTTTAGATATTAAAATCTGATTTGTTCAAATTTTAGAACTACAGCCAAGAATTTAAGAAATTATTAAAGAAATTATTAAAGAATCTTTTTCAAGAATACTGCATCTTTTTGTTGACGATAAAAGATAGTTGTAATTTTGTTAAACGAAGCCAAAATAATTTATAGTTTCTAGGCAAACCACAGCTCCAGATGATCCATACAAGTTTAAGGAATGTCCAGCGCAAGGGAAATATTTTGCAAGATTATTTTTTTCTTAAATTTTAGCTTGCCTTCCTATATATTTTTCCGACATATTAGAAGCGTTATCGTATGACTGAGATCTGCAGTCTAAAAAGTTGATTCCAATTTCATTCAAGAAATTCACTGTAACTTCGGCTAAGTTTGATCCGGTATGACTTTGTTCTTTCCGGTATCAATTTGTATAAACAGTAAGAATCGTTCAATTGGTTCGTAAAATTTTTCATGCATATGTCTTAGAACAACACAAAGTTTATCATGATGAGAAAAAAAAACTTTTCGTTGAAACCTTGCTGTTCTTTTTTTGATTCTTCTTCAAGTTTGTTGTCCAATGCGTTGTGAATTCTAATTAAATAGACAATTAAGGCTTTTCTGCGTTCTGTAGAATTTTCGTGGCTTTTTTTACAGTGAAACAGCATTTTCCAGTATCTCAAACCAGTTGAAGCAAGAAAAAAAAGAGAAAATTTTAAGAACCTTGCATGGAAAGCAGCAAATATTTCTTTTTGCTGGCGAGTAAATCAACATTCACAATCGTATTTTTCACCATTTGCTTTTTGCCTTTTAAAAAAGATTTTGAACAAAAGTAATCGGGATCCTTGTAAAACCGTTTCGATTCATGGAAATCATAGTTCTAGGTCCTTTTTAAATCTCATCTTTTTTGTTGATGTTTAAATTACAGCTATCTGTGATTAATTCAGGAGAACGCGTGACTTCTTCCAGCTGATGATCATTTATGAAACTGATTGTTTTGTTTCAATATAGCGGTTTACAGACTTTGTAGTTCCGACTTTCACCACAAAAGCCATCAAGTTTTTGAAATTTTTTAATTCTTGTTCTTTGTCAGCGTTTTTCTTACACTTTTGAAATCCACTTTTGTGTAATCAAATCATTTTCTAAATAAAATAAAATAACTAAAATAACAGGCTTGGCTTGAAAAGGCGTGTTCTCGTACTCTGTATGACCACATATATGATATTTAATGCCACAACTTGGTCACGGCTTGATTAGATGTTTGAGAACATTTAAGTTTATATATGTTTTCATCTTTGTCCACATAACAATTCGGTTTTTAGCGAAAGCAGAATAGTATTGAAAAAAAATTGCTTGGAAAACGGATGAATATCAAATTTTTTTTTGATCGTAAAGTTTCGAAAAATTTTATCGAAAATTTTAAGGAATTAATTTGAAAAAAACATTAACTGAAATTCATTTAGAAGGAATAATGTCAAAAAAACCTATGCGGAATAATATCGAAAATTAGATTTAGGAGTAGTATCAAAAAAATAGCAGACGTAGAACCTGCGAGGAACGTTGCTACATTGTCTGACAAATAGGTAGAACATGCAAAGAGTGTTTCTACATTGACTGACAAATAGATAAAAGACTCGAGGAGTACTGCTACATCGACTGAGGGTTTG